CTATTCAGTTAGAGAAGGGCTGCCATTCCTCCACTTCCGCTAAGTTCTTTCTTTGCAACCACGTGAATGCCTTCGTGATTATACGGTTTTTACGCTGAAATTCATGTTGTATGTACTTCAGCTGGTGAGGTTTATGGCTAGAAATGAATCGCAATCGCAGCCTAGCAGCTCAAGTGCGAGTCAATCCGTTCAGAATGGTGTGCCGAAACATTCAAAAATATCCGTGAAAGGTAAGTTAGAGAACTTCCACGTCAACTGTTTATTTGTTTTACAAACAATTTTAGTTATCTCGGGAAAAATTACTCCCAGTGGAGGGTTTCTGAGTAAACCGGCTGATTCGTACGTGGAAGTTAGCGTTGAAGGTTCTCAATCCACCAAGAAGACGTCTGTCAAGAAGAAGACTAATAGTCCCGAATGGGATGAGACGCTGTCATTGCCAGTGGCGGACTCTTCTGTTTTACTCTTTCGTGTATATAGTCGAGCAAAGCTTTTCGATGACCCACTCATTGCTCAAGCTCAAATGAAAATCGCTTCTATACCGAAACTGGATAGCGGAGAATGTAAGTGCCGCCTCTTATTCTTTTTTTAGGCATAGCAATAGTTTTGAAAACTTTTCTGATATTTGGATTGTTTAATTTAAGGCTATTACAGCCATTTTTTTGCGTATCAAACTCCAATATGTTTTCTAAGGACGTAGGAATGACCTTTTTACTTCTGTTGCTCTGTGAAAAGATTTATCATTCACAAGAAGTTCGCTTACTTTTTGAACTGCATAGATAACTTTATAAAGCTTGCTCCTCATTCATAATTGAATTTATCATCAATTTCATTCGTAAGGGCTGACTTCTGCAGAACATCTTCCAGCAAAGAGTAGAAAACGTAAAGTGCTTAATGCTCGTTAATCTCGAACCGTAAAATAAAAATACATTTTTTTGTGGAATAGCTTCTGGTTTAAAAATTCTTTCGTTCGAACTATCGGTAGTTTTCTTGAAGCTTAAATGACCTGCTTAAGTTTCACATTCGCTGC